ATGCTGGAAACATTTTGGGTTTTTAAATCATCCCTAGAGGCAGCCACATTATGTGTTCCTGTAAGGTACTGCTGACTTTAATTTCTGTCATATCTTTCATTCAGACAGCAACCCAAGACCCTGAGTATTGGAAAAATTCTCAGTGGCTTCAAAAGAAGATCACAAAATGCTTTTATAAAGCTAATAAAGTTTTATAAAGCTCTTCTCTTTTTTAATGAGCATGTGACAGACACTACTGTTGAGGTTGTGATTTTGTACCTGGTGAATCCCTGGGGCTCTGATAAGATAAATGCATCCAGCCAACACTCCCATTTGAAATGGTTTGATACAGAATTGTTTCCTATTCTTAGTCTGATCCAATCTCTGCAGTGTTTTCCTCACTTCTCTTAATATCCCAGTAGCTCTTCAGTTCATGTAAACAGAGACTTCCCACCCCTCAGTCCTTTCAGATAAGAGGTAGCCTCTGTCTCTGGGCACAGTCATCCTTTGGGACACTGCTGTTTGTTCCTGTTCAATTGTCACGGAAAGACGGAGAACTGTTCTTGCAAAGAAGAGAAAAATATTCTGATTTTCAAAGAGGTCGAGAGAATTCTCCTCTTCAGGTAGAAGGCTTGGTGAAGCTGATGGGTTCTAGGCAGGTGAGGTGTAGTTCACTGAATGTGGTCTGCCTCCTGCTCCAGACTCACCAGAAAGTTCAGAAAGTGTTACAGTATTTCTAGTATTGTATTCAATCTTCTCCCTGACACAGCCATAATGCTGGAAGCACTGAGAATCAAAATGCTGAATCTTAACATTAAATAAGCTACTACAGGGTTCATAAACTGTGCTCTTGTGACAGGTGACTCAGAGATCTTCCCAGAATAAATTATATTTTTTCCATTTAAACAGTAGTGAGCGAGGAGTCATTAAGGAAGGTGTGCAGGGGCAGCATCCCCTGTGCTCATCTTGTCACTCAAGGTATCACTCTTGGCACAAAGGAAGCATCACCTGAGCGCTGTGTTTGCCAGTGTCTGTGATGTATGGGGGCACTCACAAGGGTAATAGACCTTTCTTCCCTCTGAAATGGTGTTAAACTATCACAGGGTGAGCAAGAGCGCTGCTGCTCTGGGAGTTTTGTCAGGATCACTTGGCTCCTCAGTCAGTGAGCTCCCCCCAGGGCTGGACCAGCTGGCTGTGATGCCAGGCAGCACATTCCCTTCCCGTGGCTCTGCTTTGCTTTTCCTGTGTGCCCCTTCCTAAGCACAAATTACTTTCCTGAGCATTTCAAACAGTTGTGTGGCTGTCGTAGAGAGACATCCAAGGTGCCAACAAAGATTCATATTCTAGGGAATCTGTGTTTCCATATTATTTTTCTGTGTTCTATTACACTAATCATCACTTTGTGGCCATGCATGAGACACATGCTTCAGACCAAAACAAACATTTTGAGTTGAAAACCAGCATTTTTAAGGAAAAGGATTTGCAATGTGATTTATGTAATTGAAAGTCAAAACAAAACACCACTGTTATATACTGTAAATAACTCCTTTGTCTTCAACAAAATTTAACTTGTTTACATGCCCTGCAGCCATACTGAGAGAACAGAATAAATGGCAACTTCTCTTTGGGCCTATTTGAAAAAAAATCGGGAAAGAGAGGATGAGAGCAGCCAGAGAGTTATGAGAAGGAAGAGATGAGTGCTCAGATAAAAGCAGCCCAAGGGAAGATTACAAGTTCTCAGAAAAACAGATCAATAATGACGTTAATTCTGCAGCTGCAAATGCAACTATTTGCATTTTGAAACCATTTTTCCCAACTACTTCACTGGGCACAGGGTATGTAGAACACTCTCTGCAATAGATAAATCCCCTTTGCAAGGGCAGTATTTTAATGAAAAAGTCGATATCCTGAGGATGCCACTGTATTTTTCATTACAGGACTATTGCTCGCTCACTAAGATCCAAGGATCTGAGACTGCTCTCGTTTACAAGTGACTCCCAAACAACTTGCCACTGATTTTACCTCCTCCCTTTTCCCTCCCTAGACCTTTCAACCTGTGGTTCCCCTGGGAAAACCATGACGAATTTCCACGTGGAAATTTCAGTCTCAGTGTTAGGTAGTCTCTTTTGTTGTTGTTGATGGCCTTTCCTCTCCACCCTCTTTCTCTTCACCACATTGAGACTTTTGACAAGGTCAAACAATTCATCTTTGTTTCTATATTTACATCTGGGAAGCTCCCTCTAGTAGCACGACAGCATTTGAGCTCAGACTGCCTGACAAAAACAGTAGACAAGAAAGCTCCTGGTACAGACACCCACCCTGGTAAAACAAAATCAATTTAAAAAAAAACATAAATTGGAACATCCCAAATATTCAGACAAAATGAGCACCAGTAGCCCCAGAATAAATACTGCTTACTTGGGCTGCACAAAATCAGAGTTGTTCTAGACAACACTGTACATCATCTCATCAGCTTAGGGACACAGACACAAAGTGGTTTTGTTGGGTTTCACACCCAGGACTGCAGTGCTGTAGTAAAGGCCAGCACCAAAAGAAGACATGAAGTGCAATGAATGAGGGATGACTGAGGCAAAGAAAGTCAATAAACATTAACTGGAAGGAATAAAGCCAAGGGCCAGTGCAAGCAGCCCTGGCTGGATGAATGTATTGGTGGAATATATTAAAGGTAATTGAAACATCCAGACCCAAAGAAGTGAAACCTGAATGCTGGTTATACTTCCTGACTGTAGGATGATAAAGTGATCAAGACAATTGAGAGAACTTAGCAAGCAAGTCCTGAAAAAGTCCTGAAAAATAGGGAATTGCAGCAAAGTGAAAATGAAACTTAAGATGGCAGGTTAAAAAATGGCTAATAAGTATTTGAAAGCAAGTACAAAAAATAGGAAAGAGTCAAGTACATCTCCCAGCACGAGGGAGGCAGAAAGGGAATGCTACAGCTACTGTTGTTACAGACAGACAGAAAGTGAAGTTAAATCAAAGAGTGGTTTCTCTGGGCTCAAACCAGAGTGTGGCTGCACTGTGCAAACAGGGTTTGCTTATGGACTGTCCCAAGGAACACTGGGGTCCATGTGAGCTAAAGCTACACACAGGTGCTTGTGACAGGCAGTGTGAATCTGTCACCTCTGATTTATTACTCTTCCTCTGAAACTGTATCCCCCAAACTGAGATTCTGTACTGATTTCCACAGCAACCCAGAATTAGAAGTGTGTGTGGTGGCTGAGTAGTCTGGAGATCACAATTTCATGCACTCAGGCCATACAGTTTCTTTTCACTAAAACCTTTTGGAGGAGTTAAAAAAGTTGCATTTGAAAAATCTTGTCTTTCACGGGCCGTTTCAAAAGACTGTTGGGAAGTGTAGCTAAAGGAATTGTGGATATGATTTAACTGCTTTAATCTGCTTCCTTGGGAACAGTTCACTAGTGGGTTCCCTACTGCCTGGCATTCCATAAGGCATGGAGAATTCCCAGACATATTCCTGCTGTTGTCTAACCTGCCAAAAGCTTTCTATACCTGTAATGTACAATCCAAACCCCAGCAATCCTTGTCCTGGTGATGGACGAGCTGGGCCTCGTTCCCAGGGACCTCCAACAGAGTCCTTTGCCAGAGCAATAGTGCAGGTGTTCTTTATCACATCCTTCCACAGGGACAGTAAAAATGGGCTGGAGATACTCTTTGACAAATTTATTTTGTTCCTCCAGGGAACAATACAGGGTTGGTTGGGTTTTTTTCACTGTGAAAGCACAAACTCCCCTGTGTAGTGACACACAGAACCACAGCTTCAAAGAACATTATTTCACTTTCCTTTGCTTTGCCTTTCTGGCACAAGGAGAAATCCTTGTTTGTAAAACGCTGTTAGCCTTCAAAGTGAATTGTCTTGGAACTGGTTTTCCTTATTTATTGGAATTCTCACAGAAACTGACCTCCAAATGTAGTGCAGGTAATAAAGCTGCAATATCACCCCAAGGCATTTCTTTGCCTTGGCATTGTAACGTGGATCCTAATAAGTCAGTGACATAGGAAGTTATTCAGTATTAGCAAAGCCTCAGAAATATGTACAGCAGAATAACCTTTAGATTAGAATCCCGTTTTTCACCCAATTATCAAGGTTTCTCCTATGCACTACCAAGGGTCATTAAAATCTCTTTCCCACTTGTCTCTACTGGGAGATTAATTTGAAAATACCTTGATGACTCCTATCCACAAAACTTCCTTATCTAACCATATATGAATCACTTTGAGAGGAGCCACATTTCTCATAGCAACCAAAGAATCAGTCTTAGCAACAAGACAAGCTGGAGAATTTTGTTTTCACATAGTTACTCGTGGACAGTACGTTCTGCTTCCTCCTGGCATTGCTGTTGCAGTGTTGACTTATTAAAGGGTAAGAAATGGTACAAATCAGACTATTGCTCAAAGCAAAGACATCACTTGCAGGGCAAGTTGTGATCTCTCTGCCTTTGATGTTATATTTTAGGAGCTAGTGCAAGAGTACTGACTGCTGGAAAGTTCAGAATTTAAATTTTTGCCCTGACAGAACTACTACAAAGAAATGTGTGAGGAAGCTGACAGTTCCCAAAATCTTGACTTCCCCCCTCGAGAAACCACCATGGAGAATCAAAGAATGAGCTCTAAAGGCCAACATTTCTGCTTCTTTTAGCATCTGTTGATGTAGAGAACAGTGAGAAAGGCTGCATAGAAGGTGACTTTGTAATGTATGTATATATTTCCTATTTTTTCCTTGCAAGGATAATTTTGGGAGAAATATTATAGCGAAACTGGGAACATCAAAGCAAGATCTCTTTAGAGGAGTTTTGAGGAATCTTCCCAAAGAAGCAATGCTAAGATGACATTTATAAACAGGCCAGTGTTGGAGTACTTTCCATCTCTCAAGGAAATGAGTTCCCACGTGTATTTTGATCCTCTGAAGAAATTCCAGGTGCAGGTAGCAATAGTAACTGCACCCAGCTCTCATCCACGTTCCTTCCCTGTCCCCTCTGCAGGGGCTGGTGGTGTCCTGCAGGCCGCTTTGATTCCCCCACTGGTCCTGAAGTTGAAGACAGAGTTGGATGAGATCCAGGAGCTGATCCTTGATACACTCTCCAACTGTCTCCGTGTGGAGATTTCTGAAGCCTTGGCAGCTGGTGTCGTTACTGTGCTGAAGGAAAAGCTCTCACACCCCTCCACAGCCATCAGGAGCAAAGCAGCCTGGGTCCTCTTGGAAATCAGGTAAAGAAACCTCTCTAATGCTTAAGTCCAAGAAAGAACTAATTCCAGGAGTAAATAAATGCCATTTATTTACAGCTGTGTTCCACTGCACACTGAAGCAGCCACATTTCACATGTAAAGCACTATCAGCTTGAATGCAAAATGGGTAAAGCAAAATGGGACACATGGGGCTTAAAAAATTCCTAACTGCTATAAATCATTGAAGAAAGCAGACACTGATCAGTCATTCCTTCTCCTTCTGTTTGTTTTCAATATTGGCAGTGGAATCAGGATTTTTTCCTGGTACAGCACTGCTAGGAAAAAATTCTTGCATGAAAAATCTTGAAGAAACAGGATTCTGAACACTACGGAGGTAGGGAGAATCTCCCTTATGTTTTTGGAAAAGTGCTCTCTCTCAGAAAATTAGAGGTCCTTGGAAACTTTCACTGTGATTGAAGACAGAAATAGTTTTCTGCCACAGGCTGCCACATACATCAGTGATGGAGCAGAAAAAGCACCCTTTATATTAAATTTGTGTATCAGAGGATGGATGAAAGGAATAACTTAAGTCCGGTGTACTGCAATCAGACAATATAATAAGTGTTCAACAAATGTCTAGTTTAAAAAGGTCTGCAGATGATATAGTTCACATGTCAACTGGCACTACACATTTCCTCATGTCCTATAATAAAGGAGGTCTTAGAGGAAAAGAGTGTAATTAATGTGAGTCATGGAAAGAAAGCAAAATGCAACTGAAATATGGACATGAGCTATGTTCTAGGTCCCTGCAATGGCTGGGCCACATTAAATATTCTCCTCATTAAAGAAGCTGGAAAGGAAGAGAGGAAAGTGATCTGGGAGGAGAATTCGTTTCAGCCCTCTGATTTAGCAGGTTTTAAAATCTCTAGAGGCTTCACCAGCCAGGTTTGTAACTCCGTTGCAATGAGGACCAGCAACACCCTTAATCCTCCATCCTTGTTACATGCAGCTGCCCATCAGTGTCCAGCAGACCATAGAAAACTTTTTTTAAAAATCCAGATAGCACCTAAAAATAACCTAAAATATCGTGCAGCTCGTCCAGGCAGGTCAGGGTGGTATCCTCAGGGTTCAGCAGCCACAGGCACAGCCATCCCCTGGGGTGCCTCGGGGCTGGGTAGCCTGTCATGTGCCTCCGGGCAGGACAGTCCCTGTGCCAGTGCTGCAGCCGCCGGGGCCGGGGCTGAGCTCCACGCGTGGCCAGAGGCTCAGCAAAGCAACTTAATCATCTTCTCTACACAGTTCTCATGCTGAGGGGAAAATTGCTGTGTGCAAAGAAGGGGTGATTCCTGTGCTGGTGAGCCTGCTGCAAGACACACAGCCCGAAGTTCAAGCTGGCACAGCAGGAGCGCTGATGTTTGCTATTGTTACACCTCAGGGTGAGAGACAGATGCAATTCTGTTGGGGTATCTCGTGGAAATCCAATTCTAGGGCAACTAAATAACAAAACATTCGCCCCCTACTCCCCAAGTCCTCGGTTTCTGACAGTGTTAGTGCTCAACAAGAAACTCTGAAGATTGGGAGATTTCTTTGTAACTGTCTTTATTGTTGCTTCGTCACAGTGCCTAGGGGGGACAGGATATTTCACATTTCATTCCCCTAAGTAGGTCAGAAAGTTTTTAATCTACCTCACCTGCATCATCTCCCTCCAGAGGGGGAACATTTTCCGTTCAAGTCCAGACCACACAGAGATCCACAAACCTGGAGCTACACTGAATCACCAGTGCTCAGCAGAGGAGCGCTGCTCCCTGGAAACGTTCTGGGATTAGAGGCAGCTCCTCTCTCACAGCTGGGAGAGCAATGAATATTAATCAGGGCTGTAGCTCTCCCAAGTAACTTACATGACACAGAAAACACTAACTGCTAAATTTCCAGTATGATGAATGAGTAATTAGACATAAAAGACTCAATAACAGCAGTTGTGTTCCAATCCTCCTCTGCAAACCTTCCTCGGGCTTCCAAAGACAACTCAGGAGAGGATCTTGGTCTTTGAAGTGTTTTTAAAAACGAAAGACTGGAGGATGTTCTTAAGGGCATCTAACACACTCCACTCATCTCCCCCCCTCCAAAACATAGTTTATTCTATCGTTTAGTGCTCATATATTTTTAGATAATTTGTTGCAAATGAAATACTAATGTGCAAGGCAGATAAAGTTAACCATGAAAGATCTTTTTATTTAAAAATAAACAGCTGTGAGCCAACCTTGGTCTCCGAAAGAATAGCATGTTCTCCCTCTGTGCACTGCACCTGCAGGGCTGTTCAGAGCTGTAGCTGGGCAGGGAATGGAACGTGTCAGTCCAAAAGGATGATGATTGGATGTCAAAACACATTTCAAAGCCAGTTTATTTTCCTGCAGGGAGATCCTCAGCCATGGGTGCTGAAGCCATTCCACCTTTACTGACGCTGGTTGCTGAGGAAACCAGCAAAGCGCGTTTGAATGCAATCAAAACCCTCACCCTGCTGGCTGAGCTGCCAGAGGGCCGCAAGACACTGCTGGATCACAGGGACACATTTCAGCGGTGTCTGGATGATCCCAGCGAGGCCGTGCAGAGAGCTGCCGAAATCGCCATCACCGTGATCGACTGGAAACCCTTCTGCAGCCGCGATCTTTTCTAGAGATCTATTGCCCTCTGTTGTTGTCTGGCTGTAAAAGGTACACGATTACAGGAGACCTGCAACACCAGAACTCTCTTCCTTACTTTGGATCAGTTCCTCCTGAAAAGTCATTTGGCAACAGTTTCACATCTATATTGCAGGTCACAAGCAGAAAAATGGAGAAGTTAGGAAGTGTGGAGCTCTCCATTAGGAGTTATTGCCCAAGTTACCAAGATTTTCCTATGATACAAGACACCAACCCTTTTTGTCTTCTTCATAATGTTCTATCCTTTTTTTTTTTTTTTAAATCTCAGCCTATCAAACACTAATCAGTAATTAATTATTACAAAGGTTTACAATTAACCCCTCCAGCAGTCTTGCCTGTACTGACAAATTGCTCTAACAGGAATTTAAATTATTTTTGCTGCAAACATTTGTTGAACGTGGGGGTTAACACCAAAGTCAGCTTTTATTAAGGTAGCCCTTGGTAAAGCTGTGCTGGGGCCTCTCCAACAGGAGAGGGCTCTGGTCCCTAATAGGAATTGCTTTTAATAGGGAACAAAAGCACCTCGGGGTTTGAGCTGAAGGGCAGTGGAATTGGTGAGAAGTTTCAGTGGAATTTTATTCACTGGCAGTTCAAGGCTGGTCACTACAGACATGTTGCAAATTTCTGTCTGCAGTTACAAGATTGTAATTTAAGAGGCTTCAACAGGAGGCCTGGGCAAAGAAATAACACAAATGAGCAGGACAGCCCTGGCCATTTTCAGCCACCAAGGAAGATGTGACAGAGCAGCTGTGCAGTTTCACAGCAAGTCCCATTTGTTTTCACTTGGGTTTTGTTCTCACATGGGAGTTTTATATCCAGAACTGTAGCTACAAATAAGCTGCATCAGGTCTATAAAGGGGGTTATTTACCAAGGCTGCTTTTCCATTTGAACCCACAGTCACACTGCAAACTGCATTACTCTTACACACAGTATAAACTCTTCCTGTAGGAGTGATTACAGTTAAAATGCTTCTCTTCCATAATGTAACCAAAGGGTGAATTTCCTCTCCTATAAAGACGTGATTTAGAAGTATTGAGTCAGTTGGACTCATTCCCTCCAGGCAGGATCTTGGAGGAACTCTGCCTTTTAAACACATAAGGCACTCATACGTAATACATATTGGTGCCAGAGTGCATCCAACTCAATAAGAGAAGCCAGGCAGCTTTAATAACATGCTAAAAGACTAGAGCAGCACAGTGCAGGCTCAGCTGCTCTTACAGAACTGCAGGAAAATCTGGTAGCAATCATCATTTTAGCCCAGATCCAACCTTGTCACAGCTTTCCCCAGTAATTCAGGTATCACCCTTCAGTGAGTTCCCAAAATAATTAGCTTGTTCAGGTGCAGAAATAACATCCACACTGAACTGCTCTGACTAGAAGAAACTGACTTGGACCTCAAGTACTGCCTTCCAAGTATCTGCCTGATCAATGCTTTAAAGACAATATAGTCTGTTCCCAAAAAAGCCTCTTCAGTGTTCTCATCTTTCACACACAGTACAGAAATGGAAGAAAGCCTCAGCTGAACTCTAAGATGTGGATACTACTGGGCCCCTCCCACATGTCAGCTTTTGTCTCAGCAATTCTTTGGCACTGTTACGCCTGACAGCGTGAAACCATCACACTCCAAACATGACAGGAATTCCCTTGGGCTGTACTGACCATGTGCTGCCTCTGCAAACACCAGAATTTAAAGTCTGCATAGGGAACAGCCACAAACCACTGTTAGTTGGGATTTTCTACCTACAAAGCCACATTATTGACAAAAAGGTTGAGATATAATAATCAAAAGTCATGTGCTGTGCTAAGGGCTAATTCCCTGCTTCGGGATGAGAGACAAGAGTCCCCATTTCATGAGGCTGGGAATTAATTAGCACTGTAGGTATCAGTAAAACAATTGGCTGGATCAAAGGAACAGCTGATGAACACTTTCCCTGGACTGACTTAGCTTTCAGTCAGGAATACTCCATAAAAAAAGCTGCCACAGACTTGGTCACAAAAGTGCTGAAGATATTTTTGAATGGCTTCATAAACATTATAAATACTTAATTTAACATCTCAGGATCTGGCACCTCAAATCCTAATTAAACTCACAGTTTCAAAGGAAATGCTGTGTGTACAGCAAGTCTCTGGTTTTAGCACTGTGCCCTTCCCAGTACTCTCTGCTCCAATGGCTTTAGCACCAAGGTGGATTTTTAACATCAATGAAATCAATTTGCCTTTTTAGCTTGAAGCCAACAATTATTAAGGCCCAGATATAATTAATATGATTCCAGGTCAATACTGGAATTAATGCAGTTACGCTCTATACAGATTGAGTTTTTGCCCAACAGTCCTCAGCAACACCAGAAGACAGGACAGCTGCATCCATGGGAAACAAGACTTCCCTGTGGAGCCTTTTATCCCACCCAGGCAGAGGTCATGTTGAATTTTTTCTAAGTTTCCAGAAGATTAAGAATGTTATGGCTCTTTGTTCTTGCAACTACAGACTCGTTTCCCCTGGCTCTATATGCTTTCAGAAGGCCAAGAGGTGGAAACTGTTCTATCCTGCTCTGGAAAATGGCAGCTTTCAATTTCATCTCTTCATGTTTCAAAGCAGGGAGTGTATTTGCTTCCCACCACTACCTTTCCTATTAAAAAAAAATAATTCAAAAATCCTATAGTGAGAGATTTGTCTAAGGACAAAATAGTCTGGGAAAGTCAGATTTGGCTAATGACATTAAACCAGAAGGGCAGAGACAGCTACACACAAAGCTAATATGGTCAAAGCACAGGACCTATTTTTAGCAAGACAAAGTTTGCAATTGGAATGAATAAAACCCATTTTATTAATTTATTTTAGCATACCTTGTATATAAGCTACATTCTTAAAGTTACAGGCTCTAGTACAGTAAATAGAAATGCTGCACAGAGTAACAAGAAACTCACACCTCAGCTTGAAGCTCTTCCAGATCCCTTCAGAGAAGTAGGGGAGGTGCTGATCCAGGCAGGCACAGCTGCTCTGGCCTCAGCTCTGCCAGGTAAGGAGAGAGTGGGCTCAAGAGCTCAAGGGGAATTATTCTTTCTCACAGCTGCCCATGGTAGATGGCAAGAAGGAATGTTCTTCAGGAGCCACAAAAAAGGCAACCTATTTTATTAATAATAAGGATGGTAACTTGAGGCACTGCTTATACTGTCTTGGATCAGAACAACTGGTAGAAGTGAATGAAGTGATAGAAGTGAAGGTAGAAGTGAATGAAGTTTTGCTCTGTCCTTTAGGTTCTCCAGCACAGGCCTACAATACACACTCCATGTGAAAATGCCACGAATCACCAAATAAAAGCAGGGTTTTCTGCATTTCTCATCTCTGTCCACAGCATACTGCCCACTGATATTAAACCCAGGACTGTGGGTTCTCCACTGAGCACAAGGGAAGATCTGATTGCTGCTCCCCCAGAGAACACTGCAGTGCAGGACACAGACACCTGCAGCTGGCACATGAGACCACTAAACAAATTAAAGCACGCAGCAGCTTTCCTGAGAGCAACTTTGCTGTCACCCCACAGCCTGTGCCCAACCCTTTTCCCTGCACTCTGGCCCCAGAAATGTCAGCTCTAAAGTCCTCTGGCTCAACACTTCAAACCAATGAGCTCAAGGGTCCTTCAAATACAATGACTGACAATACATGGATTTATTATTTACCTTCGCTCCTCATTTTTGTGTTGGCTTTTACTTTATAGGAACACTCCTGGTTTTGCCAATTAAGGAAGGTCAGGGAGCTGAGTCCCCTGGCAATCCCAGCTGCTGCTGGGCTGCAATCACAGCAATCACCTGCACATGAGGAGCTCAGCCTTGTGCTATGGCCTAATTCACCATGGCCAGACAGCCTGCTTCAAACCAAACCATGCCTACTGCAGATTTATTCCAAGTCTTCCCTCCCCCGGCATTTCAGTGTTTGAGGTTTTTCAACAACAAAATAGGAATAAATCCCAATTCTGAGTTCTAAGAACAATGTGTTCTCATCATCATTAATACTAAACATTTGTGAGATACTTGGATACATTTTTGTGGGTGATACAGACAAATTAAATGAACAGTGATTACCCTTTTTCAGGATTTTTTCTAAGAATTGTGTAGTTCCATTTCTTAAATAGAAAATTTTGTTTAGTGTGTGTTCTTTACAGAGCAGTGTCACAATTTACTGACAGTGCTAAGTGCTTATTTTATTTTATTTTATTTTATTTTATTTTATTTTATTTTATTTTATTTTATTTTATTTTATCCGTATATCTAACCAAAGTCCACCAAAATAAGCTTTAACTATGTATTTTACCTGACAGGGTAAGCTGGGATGTCTCAAGATCCCCTGAAACAGAGCTGTGTTGTGCTGTACATGCCATGCAGGTACTTTTGCTGTGAGGCAGAGATTTATTTGGAGTCTCACCACTAACCAGAAGTATTTCAAATGTATAAGTCAATCACTGGGGGAAAGGGTGTGCTCACATCTCTAAAGCATGACAATGCCCAGAACAATGTAAGCTACTGCTTTTGTCTGAGTGTCCCCAACAACAGCTCATGGACAGCTCCCCTGAAAACTGAAGACAAGTCATTTTCTTCTTTAAAATCATGAATGCAATAGCTGCCAATCTGAGTTGGCATTTAATGTTAGCTAAACATTACACTTTTATCAACTGTTCACAGTATAAGAAAATTTTTCTTTGAAATTCTACAAAATTACAGGAGTCAACAGTAGCTGTCAAACTTTATGTAAACATTTGAGCTCTTCCCTCCACAATATCCTCCTTCAGACCAGGATGAAATCAGGTTGCTGAGGACATACAGTGAATATCCCCGGGAAACTGTGGGTTAGATTTTCAAAATTCTGTAGTTCTGAGGAGCAGAATCATGCAATGATGGCTGATTAACCAAGAGGTCATCCAAAGGCTGCTCAGACTGCCAGGAAATCACTCATGTTATTTGTCTTTATCCAAATAGCTT